AAAAAAAAGTTACAGAATAGGGTGACTGACTGTGCCAACAGCCAGGCTAAAGCCTTCAACCAGTGTTCATCGTGACTCGTTTCCAGCGTGCCTTGGAGAGGAGGGCAAACGTGCTTGGCTTGGCTCATCCAAACCCAAAGCTTTCTCGAGGGAGGTTGTCCGAGTTCCGTGGTTAACACCCTTCTGGGAGGCACTGACCTCCAGAGGAGCCCCGGGGAAGGCTGCTGCTCCAGCCGCCTTTTCAGGGGTGGTTTGGAAGTGACTTTCTTTCTAGTTTTCAGCGTGTGGACCTCTTCTTCTCACTATGTTAACTGGACAGTTCCAGTTTTGGTGATGAAGACTTGCTTGTGCACCTCTCAAGGCTGGAAAACAGCCTGATCTCTTCGTGCAGCTTAGGAAAATATTTCCTGTTCCAACCGAGTTGGAAATGTTTTTTCATCACAGTCTGCAGGTCAAGGAACTACAGGATAGACTCAAGATACCTCTTGGTTTTATTTCTTTATTTTCCCTTTCTGCAGACTCCTTGCAACTTTTAACCGGGTTGGTTTATCTCATCTGAAGTATTAAATCGGGTGAAATTCATAAGGAAGCTAAAGCAAATGCCATTTTGTCTAGCAGCATCGTGTTGGTGCTTCTTCAGTCTAAGTTCCAGCCACAAACTCCATGCAGAGCTTGGCTAAGGGGATCACCGTTGGCAGCGAACGTGCCCACACCTCAGTTTGGAGAAGTCTTAGCTAGCCAGCGACAGACGTAGGTTTGCAGATGCTACTGAGAGGAGCGGGAGAGACCACCGAATCGCGCTGAGCATCCCCTGGACAGGACATGGTTTGGCACAGAATGGTTTGATCTCACCTATTCAAACTCAACACAGCCTCTTTGATTCTCCTTGAAGTCGAACCACTCTTGAAACCCAACCTGCCGTGCAATTTCCACAGCCCTAGAGGATTTTGGGGAGGCAGAGGGCAGGGGAGCATGGTTAAAAGAGCGGACGCAGGGGTTATGAAAAGCTGACAGTCCTTAAAACTTCAGAAAGAGCCGTTGCCGAGTGTGACCTGCAAACCGTGGGCCGGAGAGGCAGAGCTCTCCAAGTGTGACGGGATAAAGTGACACAAAACAAGTAGGATGAAAGCGGCGGGCATCTCTTCAGCTGGGACCCGATGCCAGAGAAGGAGTTAGCAGGAGGACCTTGCCGAGCCCGAATCCCTTTGCGTGGGACCACGTTTGGCAGCGCCGTGGCCGAGTGGTTTGGCAGCGGGTTGCTTGCCCATAATTGCTGTGCTGACGCTTTTGTAATTAAGTTCTTGTGTGGGAAAGGGAGGCATGCAGCTGCTCACAGTGTTTGGGAAGCTGTGCAGGACTAAAATTAGCCTTTGATTATTATTATTATTACTATTACGGACTTGGGCTGGAGTGGGTGTAAAAGGGAAGATCAGTGATCCTGGGGAAGATTCACCCTGACGTTTCACGCGGAATGGCATGGGGTTTTCTGTGGGAGATGATTGACCAGATCATGTGTGTGGCAACATAGGAAGCTCAGATTGCCGTGACGTAGAAAAAGGCACAAGATGAGGTTGCAACACATTTTCTTCCAGCAGAGTGAAAAACACGCTTCCTCCCTTTCTAAGTAAAAAAGGAGAGGGGAAGGAAAAATTGGATTATTCTCCGCAGTCTGCTGTCCTACATGTTTTGCCTTTGCTACCGTCTGCTTTTTTAGACACCAGTTTGTCTTACTTAAGAATAAAACGGGGATTTACGTGCTGGTGCAAACTCTGATTTTCCTTTCAGAGGAACTCTTGTTACTCAGACATCTGCTCCCCTCAGCTTCTTTTTCCAAGACAAATAGAATTGGCTGATGCAACCCAACCTCACCCGTTCATCTTCTTCCATGTGGCACTCAAGGGCTCCGACTCCGTTTCCTATTTCTTCCAACAAACAGTGGCACACGGTACTTAGAGCAGGTTGTATATTCTTGACAAGTCCCGCGCTCATTGATTCGAAAGCAGGAAAAGCCACTTTGAAACCTGTTGGCAAACGCTACTCGTGTGCGTGACCCTAGGCAGAGCAAGTTGGGTTTTAAACCAAAGGGTAGCACTCTAGTTGCTTTTTTAATTTACTAGATTGGAGCACGATAGCTGCGCTTATGCTTTGTCTGCTGTGGCTGTTGCAGACGGGGAAGCCCACATCCCAGGCAGCTGATGCGCCTCAGGTCCTCATGATGAACACATGAGGAATATGAACCTTCTCCAGACTCTTCTTTGGAGAGGATTCTTCCTTTTGCCTCCGCAGCCCATGAGCAATTCTCCTCTTTGCCTGTGCTGCCTGCAACTCCTCTGCCAGAAAAACTGCCTCATTTTTGCCATTTTTTTTTTGGTATTACAGCTTCCCTGTCTCCTGTTCTTGGACACAAAGGTCACGTTCTCCTGGTTCTGTTCCTGTCTTGAGGCTGCTACCACCAGACCTTCTCCGTGGGGACAGGAGAGGAACTTCCCCATAGCACGCTAACTGCCAGCCATGGGCACCCCAGATAGGACTCTGAAATGCTGGTGTCTGATGACTTGCAATAATTCAGGTATCCAGAAATAACCTTCCTCTCTCGGTGTTGTCACCAAGGTGCCAGATATATACAGAAGGGGGGTATGCTCAACACCCGGAGGTAAAGCTGAGCCACGAGGGCAGGAGGTAGGAACCAACTGAGACACAAAAATATTTATTTCGAAGCTTGTATTAAAATATTAGCGTGCCTTCCTCCTGTGGGTAAAAATGAGAAGAGGCAAACCTGAACTGTTCAGCATCCACACGCAAAGCTCTTGCACAACAAAGGAACTAAGGATGCAAGAAGCTCTTGGTGGAGGACAGGGACTTGTGGTGACAGAACGATAGCGTTTGGAGTGGGCTGTAGAGGACAGAGGAAAATGTTCTCCCTACGTAGCCACTGCAGGTCGTTCCAGGAGAAACGGCATTTGCTACTCCGTCAATCGTCAAGGCATTTAGGGCAGATGTGGTAGAAGCCTTAAAATGTGAAGTTGTGCGTGTTTTGGTGGGCTCGTGGCTTGGGCCGGTGAAAGGGGGCATAACCGAACTGATGGATCCACTGCAACGCCAGCGGAGGCTGGCTCATTCAGATGGGACAGTCATTCTTCCTTTTGAGCTGTCGGTCGTGTGGGAGAGGGAAGGATCGTGACTGAGGCAGTGGGTGGACCTCGGGGTGGAGGAGGAAGACGTGGAGCACACGCTGGGACATCATATATAGTCAGTCACCCGTGGGTGATGCCTCCAGAACAGGGCTCGTCCGAGCGGTGGACGCTGCTGGCTCCACGTGGCATCGCTCCCAGGTAAGCCGGGAAGGTGGGAGGAGAGATTCCCTGGGCTCGGCTTGAATCCCCTTGCTTTTGGCCATGGAGATACGCTGGCAGGAAGGGCGTCTGTCTGCTGAGTGTCCTAACGGGGGCTGGCTCAGCCGTACTTTTGTTTTACCTTCCCGTACAGAGGGGTTTGTCTGTCTGTGTTGGCTGAGGGAGAAGAAAGCAGCTCATGCAAACTCGCTTCTTGCTCAAGGGGGGCATTGGGGGGGCGGGAAGCCGCGGAGATCCTTCCTGGGGGTAGGAGACCTCCTGCCTTCCGCAGGGAGAGGGCAACGGTGGAGGGGAAGGATAGTCCTTGGGGAGCTCAAGGGGAGACTTGGAGAAGACCACAAAAGCCTCTGGCTGGTGAAAGCAGCCCATGGTGTGAGCTCCAGAGGAGCGAGAGCTATTCTGGAAGGTCCTGCAAAGCGGGGAGGTGGGACTCAGTGCTGGATGCTCGTGGTTCTGGGGGGACAGCTATGCACAATCCCTGGACTTCAGGTGGGACCGCAGGGAGGGCAAGAGACTCTAAATTCCTTATAACCAAGGCAGGGAAGACAGAAAGCAGAGGGAAGGTGAAGCTCCCGGATGGATGGAGCTGGTGGTCCACCTTGGGCTCCTTGCCTTGCGTCCTTTCCATGCAGTTGGGTTGTGCAGCCCTGTTCCTCCACGTTCAGCCTTCCCCGACCCCCAGCAGCCCACCGTGGCTGGTCTCTGGCAGGTCACAACGATGTGAAGCCCCGTTTGGCCGATGCCCCCCCCGGCCTCTCGGGCCGTGCCGGGGCTGGACATGCCACCTGAGCCGCTAACGCCACGTGCGAGGGGGGGGCCAAGGCAGCTCTTCCCACGGAAACAACCACGCGGCGCATCTTCGCTTCTGCTTCTGCAAAGCCAGAGTCAGCCCGCAATAAATCAGCCAGCGTGGGAAGCAGCTTGATTCAGGGAGCTTGTGCAAAATGGGTCGCAAACCACCGGGAAAGGGGGGGAAAAAAATAAATGCATAAACCCAAGCTGAAGTAAAAATGGACACAGGGTAGAAGAAACCTGGGAAGGCAGGACACCAGCGAACCGGGTTGTTGTCAGCGGTCCCAGAGCGACCGATGGATCATGCCCCGTCTCGCAGGTAGAGAAGAGGGAGAGCTAATTTTTTACGGGATACCACCTGGAGATGGGCAGGCACTTTCTCGGTGAATTGAGAACTTAATAAAAAGCCGGCAGAGCTGGATGGCTTGCCTGAGGATAGGTGATAACCTTTCTTAATTAACTTTAATCGGTTTCAGCACACTCAGTCTAGCGTGCGATGGGGATGGAGTTGCTGTTGGATTTGATTGATGCGCTTTACACAAATCCTTGTCCAAGGATTTCGCCCCTTTCCTGGCTCTTTCCTCCTCGTTGTAAGCACTCAAAGTCAAAACCGAGCCGTGGTGGTTGGTCGTCTTCCCGCAGTGACGTTTTGGAGGAGCCGACCCCACGGGTCGCACGGGTTTCGAGGCTCGGTGTCTTAAATTCTGTGTCTATTTGGCAAAAAAAATATGAACAAGTCTGAAGTTGGGCTTCTCCCTTCTATGATAAAATAGCTCAACCTCCAGAAAACAGTTCGGCAGCAGTAGATTGGTATTAACATGGAATTTGATTTTAATATTTAATTAATTAGCCGGTATGGGGAAAATAGGATTTTTATTGGCCATTGCTCTCGAGTAAGGGCAGTGCCGGTGGGACAGGCTGGGAGCCAAAAGCACGACCCAGCAAACTCCCATCCACCCGCGGGTGGGA